AGGAGTGCCAAGGTCAGGTATTTTGCCTCTAGATGCTCAATGAATCACCAAACCAGCACTAGAACTTCAAACTCTTGGTTATCACAGCACAAGTTAGTGCTGGTCCCACCTCCCCTAGCTCCTGGACAGCTCACCCAGAGTCACCTGGCCTAACCAGCTCCCCAAGAAGAGGGAGCTTTTGGCTCTGAACTGTGTTGCATGAAATGGTAATGAGTTCTCAGAGGTGTCCCTTATCACCTGGCCAGGCATTTGTTATTGTTTACTCAGGATTATATTCTATATACAGAATCTTTACTGGGACACACCTTATATGAAACAACACTGAGGTAAAGGGCAGCTGAGTTGATTTTCTGATTGTGAAATCTCCTGTCCTTCTGTCTCTCTGCCAGCTTGATCCGGGGCTTATTTACAAGAGAATAAAAAAGTGTGCGCCTGCGCATACGTATGTGCTCTTAAAATCTTTTGTAGGCTGTCCTCCTGCCCTCAGTTTCAGACTTCTTTTCTGCAGAAGGGAAGTGTGCTAAAACAGACTGGAAGAGTGACCAGAAAACAAGATAGATCTCCTCACTTATGGGGAAAACCACCAAGAGATTTTTAAAGAACCAGAGGTGCCCCTTAGAAGGAAACTACCAGGATGAATCTCAAAGTGGGGAGCCAATCCTTGGAAATACAGTGCAACTCACAGCAGCAAGGAAAATGTGTTTGAAAGAAGCCTTAGGCAGCATGTCCAGGTGTGTTCATCAGTAGGAAGAAGGTGATGGAGGGAGGGGATTGTGTTTAAGGCAGGCAATGGTTGTGGGTTCTAGGTTTTTCCCTTCTTGGTAGCTCTTATTTTGGGCTGAGAAAAATGGGGGCCTGGGGAAATTGTTCATCACAGGAAAAGAAAATTAATAATTGGCATGAGAATATCTAATTTAAGATTTAGTATTTCTGCACTTTTGAGGTTTGAAAGTGTTAGTAAACATAAATAGAACGGTGATTATAATAAAAATAAACTTTTGAATTTGTGTAATACCCTGAGAAAATTTAATGCATTCATCTACATCATCATATTTAAATTCTGACACTGTTTGTGGCATCTGTGAGCACTGGTCTCATTCTACCTAGCTGTCATGCAGGCTGTCTGCTTTTAATCACTTTGCTTCTCTACAAAGTGAACTTTTGTGAGGTTTCAGGACACAAATTAGCTTTCCTTATCTCGTCTGTATATCACATGGGGTTCAGGAATTCCTGTAGACAAAAGAAAAGAAGAAGCAAGAACTGCTGATAACCCTCAGCCTTATTGTCAAAAGACCTCCATTTAAACAGGGTTAGGAATATTAGGCACCATTGCTGAACCAGATCTCTTAGGTTTCAAAGTTCATTTCAAGCCCTTGATCTCTAGGAGAGGGGGGAGGGTAAAGATCAGGAGCAATCACCATCTTTCAAGGCCTGCACAGAGCTGGAGGATAAGGTAACCTTCTCTCCACCTCTTTTACACTGGAAGACACCTCAGGCATAATACACCTTATCTATACAAATTTAGTTCTCAGGATTTAGAAGGATCACCAGTTCAGTGACCATTCCATTCACTCTTTGTCCCTTCACAGGCTTGTTTCAGTAGAAAGTTGGAGCCCAGGGTACTGAGGAATCTGGCCAGGGATCCCAATTCCTTGGCCAGTGTTGTGTCCCTTGGGATTTGATGCCCATTCCTCACTTTTTTTGCTCATAGCGAAAGAGTGCTAATCCTGGGAATTGGGTTTTTTCACTAAAAAAGCAGAAGATAGACATAGGATTGAGGGTCAGACACAGGAAAATTAATGGTGAAAACAATCCAAGGTTCCATATTTTGGTGAGTACTGAAAGAATTTTGATTCTACTTTTTTTTTTAAAAAAAAAATGCTTTGAAGAGGGGCTGGGGATGTGGCTCAAGCGGTAGCGCGCTCGCCTGGCCTGAGTGCGGCCTGGGTTCGATCCTCAGCACCACATACAAAGATGTTGTGTCCGCCGATAACTAAAAAATAAATATTAAAAAAAATTCTCTCTCTCTCTCTCTCTCTCTCTCTCTCTAAAAAAAAAATGCTTTGAAGACAGATATGCAGACATCATCTGTGTCCTGTAAGAACTTTAAAGAATATACAGACAGATTTTATTCATGTGTTTTTTTTTCTAAATTACGGTGTGTGTGTTGGTAAAATTTGGTTTTCAGGATTCTTATGGATTCTGATATAATTCCTTCTTGACATTTTTTGGTTTTGTTAATTTGAATGACAAATACATATGTATAATAGTTTAAGGAACATTGGGATTGTAAATAAAAGACCTAGAACAAGCAAGAGTATGCTTGCTCTTCCATTTATTTGTCCATTAATTTTTATCATTGGCTGATCTATAATTTAATCATATAGAAATCATATATCCCTTGGCTTCTACCTTTCATCCTAGATATGATATTTTCCAACATAATACCTAGCACAGTGCAAATGCTCAATATATGCATATAAGATCTGAAAACAGCAGAAGGACAACTTGTTTTACAGGATGTTGTAGATAAGTAATTCTGGAATGCTCTAGATCTGAGTTCTTCTCAATCTCACTTCCAAGTTAATCTGTTAACTCCAGCAAATGGAGTTAGGTGGCTCAAGGGTAAGGATGAAATATGGAGGAGAGGGCTGGGGATTTGGCTCAAGCGGTAGCGCGCTCGCCTGGCATGCGTGCGGCCCGGGTTCGATCCTCCACACCACATACAAACAAAGATGTTGTGTCCACCAAATACTAAAAAATAAAGACTAAAAAATACTCTCTCTCTCTCTCTCTCTCTCTCCCTCTCTCTTTAAAAAAAGAAAAAAAAAAGAAATATGGAGGAGAACAGGTTGAGTGGCTATGCAAGAAGATTGACAGAGGGCTGTCATCTCCATGGTTTACTCTCCCCATTGTTAGCCTGCAGGGCTCTGCCCCACAGCCCATAACCATTAATATCTCCCTGGACCCAGCATGGCATTCACCTAGGAGTGTAGATCTCTTGTCTGTCTAAAGAAAACATGGTTGGCAGATCCCCTTGAGTGGAGAAGCAGGTGGTGAGACTTGGGTGAGGCAGGCCAAACAGTTTGAGTCACCTGGAACAGGACCAGATGTCATTCTGAGGTCAGTTAGGGAATTTTTCACAACAGAGTTTAGGAGAATGGATTTGATTTTTTAAAATGTGATGTGCAGATGTATTTGGGGAATATAAGTTTCATCTGGAAACTCACAGGTTAATTGGTGTACTAACTGAACAGAAATGTATGTAATAAGAGTTATGTTACTGTTGCAAATAGAACTATCTTTGTGTGTGTTAAAACAGGCCCAGAAATGCAGTGTGTCATTATGCTTGTATTGTGAGTATGTATGAAAGTCTGGAAAGTTAATATTAATATTTAGTTCCATTCTAATTATAATCATTAACTTCTGTGGACTTCAGACAACTGCAAATATTTCAGGTGGCTTTCATTCCCCATTTCACTCTCATTCTTTTCCTATTGGTATCTCCTTCCTCATTGTGTTATTTCCTCCTCTGGATTCTCAATTTAAGAGGGGAGATAAATCTAAGAGAAGATGCTAAAAGAAACTTGAAGCAATTGAGATGAAAAAAGCTAAGGAATAATATCTACAAGTGGGGCAATAATATTGTTTTAGTTAGAACCCTGCCTGAAGAGATTTGGTACTGTAGATATAGGTATGTGTAAACTAGTGACAAGCTATATATAGACATATTTTGCAAAGTTCAAATGAGTTATCAGAATAAACAATTTCACAGATTACCTGGACCCTTAATTCCAATACTCTGAATTCTATTATACATGATACTAACTGTGAGATAATGCTTCACATACTTACGTTTAGCTAAGAAGTAATAGCCAACATGAATACTTTTTTTTTTTTTAGCATAGTGGGAAACCTGTCTAGATATCATTAAAGAGGACAGAATATTAGTTGTCAGATTGTACAGAAGTGTTGGCCAGGAGCATAGCTTTCTTTTCTTTTAATAGTTAGATTGACTAGATTCCCTGTTCTCTTTCTTCTTTTCCCTTTCTCCTTCCCTCCCTTTTTCCTCATACTCCTTCCCTGTTTCCCTCTCTCCTTTTCTTCCCAGTGCTGAGGGGTTGAACCCAGAGAATTACACATGCTATGAAAGTGCTCTACCACTGAATTACATCTCTAGCCTTAGATAGGCTGGATTCCGGCCTATAGGAAAAGCCAACCTAGAGGATTTTGGCATAAAGGCATACCTTTTCTCAGCTTGACATTCAGTGTGTAGACAATGTCATGTGATACCTGAAATGAATTACAGAGAGAAAAGTGGTGGTGAATGTAAGCATCTTCTGATCCATGAGCTTGGTGGGTTCTGTGTGGTGAGCTTTCCCATGTAGGCTTTTGTGGAGAAGTGGGTATGTCGGGTGTGCTTATCTTAAAAATTCTGGACTTATTTGGTATATTCTACATCCCTTTACCCAAGCTGTAAGCATTGGGAAGAACTTATTATACAAATATCTGGAAAGCAACGTCATTGAGTGGACCTCATTATCCTGTACGTTTATCTCCTTGCTCTAGCACCCATTTTCATTGGGCTGCTAGGTATTCATAAGCCTAGCCTCTTTAAACTCCCTATAACAAATAAAGATGATGGTAAGAAACTGGTTCAGGAAGTGCAATAGAAGGCCATACTACCTAAAGGTGGGTGCTCTGTATTAATTGGGCTATCCAGGAAATTAACCATAGGTTTGAGTAACTGGCAGAAGGTGTGTTTGGCCATGCACTTATATTTGTGGGGTATAACCATGAGCAGTACAGAGAGCAGGTACTGTGCAATCAGGGCTTCAGATTACTTCGTTCAGTGTGTATTAGTGGGTGTGTAGTTTGGTTTCTGGGCAGAGCTCACAAGTCTGAGTTGGCTTCTGACCCTTTTTTTTCCATTTGTACCATGATAGAAAGATTATGCGTAGAGCACCTATTCCCCCCTCCCCCGCCCCAGAACCAAACTTGTTAAACTGGCTGCTCCCTGAATGAAAATAATCACATCTAATTATACACTGAAAATGAAGCAAGAGGAAAATAAAATAAAAATGACAATAGCAGTGAGAAATTTTCAATTAGCTTCTGAATTCACGCTACTGAGCTAATGTTTAATTTTAAGAATTTCTCTCCTTTGCTCTTCCCTCTCCAGGCACTGATCTCTGTGCTTTTGCTAGTTCCTTTTCTTCTATAGGGACTTGTTAACCGTGGACACTCTCAATTATCTTTCTCTCGCCTTTGAGGCTTATAAACTAGAGGAGGTGGACTTTGTTGTCTGTGTACAAACCCAGATAATAATTTCTCTGTGGGTGCAATTTTCTACCTTTTGGCTACCCCCTTTACCTGGAATTTTTTGTCAACCAAACACCTGTCTCCTGAATTGTTAGGGTGTTTTTAACCTATGATCTCTGCTTCATAGAGCTCCAGGAAGAGTAAAAAAAAATGTGAGGTGGGAGCTGGGAGATAGATATCTTTCAGGCACAGAGAAACTCTGTCTCAATAAGTAACACTGTGATCATTAGTATCAATAGTAAAGTGCAGCATGTAATGTAATAATAGAAGACAACATAATATAGCTCTAACATTTTATGTTATTATTTTTGAAACATTTGAATATATTTCTTTTTTTTAAAGAGAGAGAGAGTGAGAGAGGAGAGAGAGAGAGAGAGAGAGAGAGAGAGAGAGA